GGAGGGGCCGCGGGCCGGTCATGGCCGTTTCTCAGAGCGCGGACGTGCGGCCGCCGCGGCCCGGACCCTGCCCGGTGCACTCTTGCGAGTTGGTCTTTAGTCAGGTTTTAGCAAGGCGTCGAGATTCTCCCCGGTGATAAACTCTGGTTTAAATAAATAGCCGGTCAGCAATGGTGTTTGGGTTAAAACACGACTGAATGGCTTGTCTTCTGTGAGGAATGAGGGTGGGTTTTTTTTGGTTTGGCTTGTTTTTGAGGAGGCTGTTGGGATAGACCTGTTAGTACTCTTTATTTTCAGTTCTTTTGTGATTTAGGTATAGAAGATAGTAATTATTTGTCTCCTGCTATGTTCTTCCAGAACTGGAAGACTGTAGGACTGACATGATAGAAGGTAGCTTGTTACCCATGGAAACCCCATGTTAAGCTTCTGGATCTTTTTGGTAGAATTAGGTAGAATAGAATGCAATTGCAATATATAGAATTAATTTGCCTTGGTTCAAGCTGGGCAAGTGTGCTTCCCACCTATGAGGCAGCCCCTGCTTTCCTCTGCACTTGGGCTGGCTCTTGTGGTGAGCAAGGTGCCAAAATGGGACCTGCTAGCATCCGATAGAGACTGAGAGCGCTGAGGCCAAACTAAGGTATTAAGAAATTGGCTAGTGGATGAAGATGGTACAGATCTTTAACATGTAGTCTAGAGAGAATGGGTTTAAATCCCTTGTGAACTCCGTGCATTTGAAGTTGCTGGTGTACACAGAGGTAAAGAAGAACAGTTCACAGGAAGGGAGGAGAATTTAAGTCTGTGGGTCGTGGAGGGGGGTTTGGGCAAGAGCTGGTAGAAGTGGGGCCTCTCTGCATGGGGAAGAGGTGGAGGGCCATAGGAGATGGTCTGATGAAATGTAAGTGCCCTTGTTCCTGTGAGAAGAGGCAGCAACCATGATGAGCAAAGTTTAATGAAGACCCTCGTCAGTAGCCTGGTGGCCCCCCCTCCAGCTACTTTCAGCATTGCTTTGTGCTTGTCCTTCATGTCTCCTCCCAGTAAAAATTAAAGTCTCTTTTTCGTCCCTAGGCAAAGCCAGTTGCCAGACTCCCCACCGGACTCTGGATCGGAACTGTGTTCTCCGCCACAGCTCCAGAGTAGGTCACATGAATTCAGCCTCTCCCAAGCTCATAATAATGTCTCCAGCTTCTTGTCCTTACTTTCTTCTCTGTTTACTTCTTGTAGCCCCGTGGTATGACACTACATGGCCCGGTGGGCTGCAGCCTCCATTCCCATACCCGTCTGCTGTGGCACCCAGCAAGCTTCCCTGCAGGTTCATGGACACTTACTCAGACCCCAGTGCCAGTGGGCATCCCTCCACCATCCCCCAAGGCTGCTGCCTGAAAACAGAAAATGCTGTGACTCCGTGGAATAATTCTACATCGTCCAGCAGTTTGAGTTTTAATTCTTCATACCTTCAGCCGAGTGCACCTCATATTTCTGGGTAAATGATAAAGCTTTTATGCAAGGGATGAGACAGATTAAAAAAAAAAAAAAAAAAAAAAAAAAAAAAAGGTAGATCTGGTAGAAGACATGGTTTAAGACGTGTAAAATTCCCGTGGGTGTAACATTTTCCACATGATGGCAGTGTTTAGACATTTTTGACACACTTGTTGTTGAGGGTTCTTTAAAAATCTTGACTGAAGTTCAGATTGGAAATAGGAATGGATTTCAATTTTGAAAACGTTACAAGGCTAGAGAGAGATCACCAGGTGCATCATAACTGATTATTCAGGTATTTTGCAGGGATTTGTCCATAAGGATCTTGCAGGTGTTCTGACAAGTGGCATGAGAGGAAAAAGAATTGTCATATCTGTGTAAGCAAGTGAAATGGTATTCATATACCATCTGCTATATTCACCCACTAGCGTGTTGTGGGTGCTTAATTATTTAAAATACACTGGGTAGTGGAAGCATCCAACCATGACACCTAGTAAGAATTAATTGACTGATGCATGCTGGAGGGGCCTCTCTGGTTGTTGGGAGAGAAACATGAATTCATCAGTGTTAGTCCTGGACTTGCAGATGCTCTGACCCTGTCTCCGTTTCTGTACAGAGCTCAATTATGTGTTAGACATGGGTGAAGGAAGCTGGGCCTGGGTTTCTCAGTGGAGCTATTTGTGTTTCTTTGTTTTCCGGTAGAAGATGCCAGTTAGTCAAAATCATATTATTTTTTGAGGGAATACTTTGGTTATTGGAACTTAAGATGCAAAATACTTCTTGACCAAATATGGAACTTTTGAACAAACCCAGAAAAAGAATAAGAATTAATGTGGTGGGTAGACTTTTTTTCTACTCATGTTTGCACCTTAGTTTGAGTGTCTACTGGTCCTGAGACATGGAGTTTGGCTTGGTTTTGCCCCATCCAGAATGAGTGACCATCTGTTAGGATATTCTAGTTTACATTTTATAATATCAAAACTTAAGAATAAGGCTTTTTCCCTTAGCACAAAGGAGTATTTTTTGAAACCTCACTTTCTGGAAAAGGGGAAAACAGTTACCTAGTAGTTGCCCCTTGAGATCTCTTCATTAATGCATTAGTTTAACCACTACTATGTTTTCTGTATAAGAAGGAAAGTGAGTTCGTGCTCAGTGCAGCACAGTTATTCAAGATAAAGCTGTGATTTAATACAAATGTCATGAAACAATAAAACACGCACTGTGTAAATTTTTGAAAATAGATAAACTTCTCTATTCATATGAAATAAAGAAATAAAGTAGTTTATGTTTTGGAAGGAAAAATTGCATAATTCAGTTTTAAAAAGCCAACAACACTCACCTGCCCCAGGCAAATTAGAATTTGGGTGACAATACAATTAGAATGGGATAGTTGGGTGTTCTCTTGTTATGATTCTACAAGATCTGTATTTAAATTTATAAATGAGTAATGCAATGTGTGTTTTTTAAAAAGTATTTCTGCAGCATCAGGCAAAAAGAGGAAGCTTTCACAATTACTGGGAGATGCCACTGATTCTCCAGTCTTGTCTCAGGACTCCAGACAAGGTAAGCAACTGTGTGAAGATGAAATGTAATGTTTCATGCCATAGACATTTAAGAGTACAGTGACTTCTGGCTCTGAAAAGGTGCTGGTATTAACAATCTGTACTCCACTACAAAGTTTGGAGGAATTTACCTTTTCAGTGTTTTTGAAAACCAGGACCTATTTATATTTGGTGAAGAGGGAAGTGTTAGAGGTTTGTGTTTCGTGAAGACTTTCTGGACAAAATATTCTGCCCTTCTCCATGTGTGAGCTTGCAGAACACGAATGATACCATCCTCTGCTGACTTTGTTTGGTGCTGAATTGACTGGGCAAAGAAACCTTCTTGGATCAACTTAACAGGGAATTAATGTGGTGGATGAGCAAACAGGTTGCAGTATCCCTTTATCATCTTGACTACATATTTTTTCTACAAAGTGTAGCCATGCAGAAGCTTGGTAAAAGCTGGGTGTTCCCCACACCTTCCTCAAATTAATTGGTTTGTTGTTTTATCAAGATAAAAATGCTAAGCTTATACCAATTGGTAGAAAAAAGCTTATCAGACACATACAGAAATGGATCAGCTTCTGTGAAGTGAGGCTCTCTGTGAATGAACAGTTTGTAATGAACAGTTTATCTGAGGAATTTCACCCTTGTCTGTTAGTGGAAAATCTGAGAGTTGCTTGTTATTTTTTCAGAGCAAGTTATTTTTCAGCATTAAATCAGTCTTTTAGACTACTTTTAATGAGTAGCAACTGGATTTACTAAGTTACTTTTCCTTTGGTATCTTTTATTTGATCAGTGTTGCTTGATTGGGACTGGTCCTCTGTCTACCACTGCTGGAAAGAGAGGATGAGAAGACACTTCTGTACCTAAAATTGCTATTGCTGGTTTTAATATGTAAAGACAGAGCTTTGAAATATGCTTTCCCTGGGAGTCACTCTTAATAAAATTGCACTGACACTTGTGTTATTGGAAAAAATATCATTTAGAAGTGAGATGTGAATTTCCTTACTGTGGGTTTTTTCTTATATTTTCATTCTGCTTATGTCAGATGTGGGGAATTGCAAATGAAGCTTGGACCTGAAGTGATTCTGTAGTCTCTGTCTTATTGTGCTGCTGCTGGCTGTGGATGGATCTTAGCTTATATGCTCAATGACATTTTCTTCTGTCCTTACTGTACTCCATTAACCTGTCTCTCTTATGGCATTCTCCTCTGTCTTCATAAAATGTGTAATACCTCAGAAAGCATTAACTAATCAACCAGAGGTAGTGATGAATGTGCTTGCTATTGGAAAACTGTGCCTCCTACTCTGGAACAAAGTACCTGTTGCAGTGAGTTGGAGTATATTCAGTTTAAACCTGTAGTAGAGAAAATGGGAAACATGTAATTATTTTGTTTAATTGCTTCTTGCAGTGTTGTAGCTTTACAGTAAAATGCTTAGCTTGCTTTATTTTTTTTTCTATTTTTGTTTTCCCCCAAAGGAAACTATCCATTCTTTTGGAGAAAATAAAAATAGGAAGTGCTACTTATGTAATATTTTGCAAATTAGGAAAGCTGAAAAATTTGTTTTCTAGGGCAAGGGAATATAACACAACCTTCTGGAATAACTGCAAAGGACAATCAGATTTACATATATATGCAATATATTTGTGCTTTATATGTATGTATATATGTAAATATATTTATAAAAATGTTTATGCAGGATTTTTGGCTAGTGACAAAACTAATAACTGAATTGTCACTATCTCTCTACAGCAACTGTTAAGGACTGTGCAGCTGAAGTGCAAGAATATGACAGTGATGGACAGAATGCAGCTTTGGAAAAATGCTGTCAAGCTCTAACATGGCAACCATATCAAATTTCTCAGTGGAACAGCTTATTTAACTCTAATTATGAAAAACTGTAAGCACTGATATTTGCACTTGGAAAAAGTGATTTATTGGTTTTTCTTCTGGTATTGTATCTTTGTAGGAATAAATGATACTTTTTGCATCCCTTGTTCTTACTGAAAATAAGACTGGAGAAGGAGGTATATCAGATATGATTGAATATGAATCTGCAGATGTATCAGATAAGCAGAATTTTAAACACTGGTTCAAATTCATGCCAGTTTTTCTGATTTCCCTTCAGGGGTTTAGGGGAAAAAGAAAAATGAATTTAACTTTAAATATCTGCTCATTTTTGTTTCTTTTGTCAAGAACATTGGGGCCAGTAATTACTGAGCATATGGCACCTTTCCCTCTAATGGCCTAAAGCTTTAAAGAAAAATGGAAATAGAAGATACCTGTAGTATTTCTAGGCACATGTAACCTAAGTCTTAATAACTATAGACATATATATATGATGTGCAACTGTTTAGTCAAAGATTTAGAGTTTTCCTGTATAAATCAGAACTGTAAATAATTTTTTTTTGGCACATGATCTTGCAAAGGTCATTCCAAGGTCACCTCACATCCCTGGTTTTCTCCATTTTCTCCATGTGAATGATCCCTTACAACAAAATCCCTTCTGAATTGTCTGGCTTATTCCCCAAGATTGGTGCAAACAATTTGTCACTGTCTCCACAGGACTTAAGTAGTATAGTAAATTTTAATTTTCCTCTAGCTCAGCTGCTAAAAGCACTCATGGGAGTTTGGAGTGTATCAGTGTCAATGCTGCACACTGACATCTGTGCACAGCGTGACAGGGGCAATACACATCTTACTGTGTCCCACACAACCCTTCTCCTAAGGTCTTGACATGACAAGAGACAGCTCAGTGTCCACACCTTTCTACTCTTTAGGAGCTGGATGGGCCAAGAAACCTCCAGCTGTGTTTGTGATGTGAATTGTTGCTCTAGATAAAAGTGGCTTCCAACTCCTGTTACACTTTCAATCCACAACTACATAAGAGAGCTGTGAGCTGATGGTGGGAGATTGCTCTCCTGCCACTACCCAATCACACTTATTGGTTCCCATACACTTAAAACTGAAATTCCAGACCTACATTTCTTCATGGCCGATGTCAACAAAGAAGAATGTGATACTGAGCATTAAAGCATTCAAATACATACTGTTGCCATTACTGTGGAAGGAGATTGAGGTATTATTTGCAGAGGAAGACAGTGTTGCTTTTTAAGTGAGGTCAATGGTGGTGCCTTTGTTCCAAGATGCACTATAATTATGGCATGGTGCACTGATTTTCTGAGTGGTGATCCTGTATGAATTAAAATATGACTTAGTAGTTTTGAAGTAGTTACAAAGTATTTTTCTCTTTATTCCCTGTCCCAGATAATCAGTGATTGTTTGAAACGGGCCTTTTGTTCATAAAAAGATAATAACGTCTATACGTTTCTTGTAAAATCTGTACATTTTGATTTTTCCAACTAATAATGTGCAAACAAATGTATGAGTTCTGAAAAGCCATCTTCAGTAATTGTGTTAATGAGAGGTTGTCAGTAGCATCAGATGAGATCATCATTATCAAACTTTCATTAGCAAGTAAAGTCAATGCCCGTGTAAGAGAACCTTGCCACATAGTCCTATTTCAGAATTATCCATCACTTAAATCAGAGGACTGGAAACATCGTTGGGATGGTGATTTCACTGTTTCATTTAGAAAGATCTTTTGATAACTTTCTTTGTTTGCTCTGAATCATAAGGACAGAATACTCTCTGGGTGACAAATTAGTCTTTTGAATAAATAGAATAGGTTTTCCTTAGCGAGGATAGGATGGACAGTATTATAAAGGAGAGTTTTATAGTCATCTGCCATAGAGTCTGTATCATTAGCTTTTCTTGTAGCTTCAGTAAAGCCTTATTTGAATCCCAGAAGCTTCTGCAGAAGCACTTGGTGTGGGAATTCAGGAATAAACTAGGGAGCCTTGCTGGCTCATTAGCACATTGTTGTCTGTAGCACTCATTCAGCTCTGGTTTTTATAGCAATGTTATAATGAATGATTGAATACACTAAAAGGTTTGGTTGTGCTTTTAGGTGCACAGAGTTCCTTTATAGCAGATTTGTAAGTGAGGATTATGTAAGCCTAACCACCTCTGGTTTCCAAACATTCCTTGTGTCAGAGTAGAATTAGAGTGCATTTTATGTGCATTTTCATTTTTTACACCTCTGAGAGGCTAAGAAGAGAATACTGCTAGAACCGGTGATTGTGAAGATGTATTTTGGCTCCCATTCTGTCAGTAAAACTCCGATGGATTTTCAGACCACATGAAAAGTACAGCTCAAGATGTCACTCAAATATGCCTGTTCTTAAAGTTGCTGTTCTTTCTTATTGTTTTTGTAGACCTGCTGTAGGATATCACATTGTCACAGATAAAGGATTTAATTTTTCAACAACAGATGATGCCTTTGTGTGCCAGAAGAAGAATCATTTCCAAATCACAGTCCATATTAGAATCACTGGACATCCAAAATATGTCAAAACTCAGCTGGGGGGGAAACCAATAGAAAAGTTTTACTTGAAAGCTTTTGGAATAAAGGCAAGTATTTCTCCTCTTTGTGACTTTTAGTAAGTTTGTATGTGATTATCCATAAAATGAGGTAAATAATCGAAATTAACTCTTAGTAATTTTTGACTCAGAACTGAAAATAGAACTCTTTTAAGTTGCTAGTGGCTTCTGTGTGGAACCCTTTGCAAAAAAAAGTGATGTTTTATGGATGCTTGTGCTGCTATATGCTGAAAGACATCATGTTTGCCTGTTTGCCATGGTTTCACTGACTTCCCTCTCTTTGTCTGAAATTTTGTTCCCTCTGTGGGCAGTGCAAGGATGTCAGCTGGTGTGTAGGTGGCCAGTCTACCCATTGGTTAAAAAGATGTGTTAAAAAAAATTACAAAGCAAAGAAAAGAATCAAATCTACCTTTCCTGAACAGTTAACATGAAGAAAACCAATAAAATTTCCTCATTTCTTCTTACCAGACTTTCAATTTTAATTTTAAGAACCAAATTCTTTGCAGCCAATATAGGTCCATACGCTTGCATATACAGAAGTAGTAAGAAATTTTAATCTTTCTGAAAGATTTTATGAGTTTTTTTACTTACTACCAAAATTCAGTGATTTAAAAAATCCATGTAGCTGTTTTACAAGGTGGTTACTACCAGATTTGCTTAATGCATTCTAGTGCAGAATAAATTAGTGAATATTACTGCTACCTGAAGCAAAGTACTGCTTGGTACCATTCCAGAAAGGTACAGAAAATTACATTAAAATAACTTGTGGAGCTACCTTGCATAGGTTCAGTTCTCATGTTAAATATCTACATTTATGCTTTGGAATAGAATGAGCCAATAACAGTCTAGATTCAGAAAGGAATTTTTCTTTTGCAAATTAATGCATGACTTTTCCTTTTTTTTTTTTTCCATTTAAAATTTCATCTATTGAAAGATTTGGGTCTTCAGACTAGCTGTCAGGTGTCAATTGATCAGAAGATAATTCCTATGTTAATTTCTATGTAATTCCATGGAAATGAACGAGATTTCACTGTTTCAGACACAATTTGCCTATTAATTTCTATTTAAAATTTTATGTGTTTGACAAATTAATATTCTTGTAATTTTTGAAAATTCTTTTTTCTTTGTAGGTGGAAGCTCCAAATCAAACAATTGCTATTGAACAGTCTCAGTCAGATCGAAGCAAAAAAACTTTCTATCCTGTTAAGTAAGAATTTTGAGAAAATTATTTTATTTCAATACGTGATTGATCTGGAATGTGATGTCGTAGTTTCCTGGAAGCATAGTAGCTCTAAACCAGTTTTCTGCTCTTTATCCAAATTCCATTCTGGGTGTGCACACAGAATCACAGTAGTAGTACATACCTGGTCTCCCTCCATGAAGGAAAATTTTCAGCAGCTTTGCAACTGTGCTGAAGTATGCCTATCCAAAATACTTTATATTTAGCTAGCAACACTGTTGTATGGTGTTTAGAGCTGTAGGGCAGATGCATTTCTCATCTTAAAAAATGTCAGTAATGTTCCTGTTCTACATAGACATGAGATGTATTTGCAAGTGCTTTTAAAGGAGAGTGCCTCTGCTAGAAACTTATGTGAACCTTCTCCCTGGAACTCTGCTATTCTGCATCTTAACTCATTGTCAGAATAAATGTTTGTTATTCTGGCACAAGTGTCTTCTGTTGGAGCTGTTCTGTTCTTTGTAAATAATTAAATAAGCCTTAAAACAAAAAGATAAGACAGTGTCAAGTTTGACAAGACAGTGCTGGGATAAAGGCTGGAATATATTATCTACAAAAATGAACTTTGATCTTGGGAGAAGAGCTCAATTTTCACTAAATTACCTCTATCATGGCATTCTTCTTCCTTTTGCATACTGACGAATAGATTCTGGGTGTATGTACATTTTTTCATGGATGACTGTTCAGTGGACTGTGGTTTTCTCCATGCAAACATTTTATTCACAGTATTTATCACTTACAGAGCATTGCCAGTATGTATTTGAGACATAGGTGTATATGTTATACTTCCAGACATACAAATTAGGTGCAGGTGAAAAAAAAGGAGAAGCAGTAAAATTTATTTATTTTAATGTGGGTATTCAGATCCAACAACAAGCAATGTTAACCTTGGCAAGCAACAAATACCCATCATATGGAACACATACAGTTTTATTATGTTCAAGACTGTATAAACAGACCAAGAAACACAAGACTCTTACTAGAACCAGTTTCCCATTGCTGGTGCTATATCTTGTTTATCTCCTTGACATAGTCACTGTGTTTTTAATGCATTTTTATAAACCAGCATTACTGCATTTTTACTGGGGTTCCTCTGTTTTTTTCATTTGCCAGTTTTTCTCACAACTGTTTTAATGGGTTTGAGGAAATCTGGCATAAGCCAGGTAGATCTCCAAATGCTTATTTCCCCAATCTTGTTTCCTTTTCTATTTTAGAGTTGATCTGCCAGGGGACCAGATAACTAAAGTAACACTGGGAAGGCTGCATTTCAGTGAAACAACAGCAAATAATATGAGAAAAAAGGGGAAACCTAATCCTGACCAGAGGTATTGATGTAGTTAGTTGGCCTGTGTGTGAAGTGGAAAAAGGAGGTCTACTTTAGAATGGAAATGATGCTTGTGAAAAATCTCAGTGTTGCCCAATCTGTGATTTTATTTCAAATTTTGTGATACTTGGTATCTGCTTAAAGGCCTCTCTTCTAGAGCCACAGAATAATATGAGAGTAAAAGAAAGTATCCTCGTGGTTAGAGATCATTTCAGGAAATCATGGCCACAATGATGGCTGATGAAATCAGTAAGCCAAGAGACCAGATAATGATCATTTTCTTCTGGGGAAGGAAGGGTTTTCACCTTTGAGTCTTCATTTCTCAAATTTTTCAAAATTACTATAATCTTTGTTCATTTTCAATGATTGTTGGGATTGAGATAGCATATTACTTCAGAGCAAGGGAAATAATTTTTCTTTCGTACTGTAACATAAATGCATTTTAAAAACCATTCTGGCTATCTTTTTATGTATCAATAATAGCAGTTGTATTTAAAACATTTTTTTTTTCTGTAAGAAGACATTATTGTAATTTATTGTCTTCATTAAATCAATTTCAAATTAGATACTTCATGCTGGTAGTTGGACTGTATGCTGTCTCTCAGGACCAATTCTACCTACTGTCTGCAAATGTCTCTGAAAAGATCATTGTGAGGGTAGGTACAAAATGTATATTTCTTTCATGTGAAAAGTATTTATTGTTTTGATATTCACAGGAGACTATGGGGGGATGATTCTTGGGCATAAAAATTACCACTAGCTCAGAAAGATTGAGGAAAAAAATGTACAGTTTCATATTTTATGAGTGTCTTGTTATTTTTTTATTTATAGGGATTTTAAAAGTAGAGCTTTAGAAGAATTTTAAGGAAAGGTTGTTGTGAATTCCAATACCAAATATGTTGATTTTTCCAGATTGTTTTTTCTTTGAGGTGAAACAATTTCCTGCATTTGCCAGGAATTTGGTAAATGCTTTCATTGGCTAGATGCTTCATTTTCAAAGGAGGATGAGAAAGAAAAAAAAAAAGCAAGGAAAGAAGGTAAAGCAACAATGGGAGAATTAAGACTCATAGCTGCCCCTTTCCACTGTGTTTCCAGAGTGTCTCAGCTCTTAATTTTGTGGTTATAATATAGGTTTCAAAATAGAAAAAAGAAGACTTGGTCTCTCTTCTTCATGACTCTTCCTCATTACTTTTCAGTCCCCTGATCCATATAAAGTTTTCCTTTTAGTACTCAGCTTTAGTCTACAGTTAGGGTTAGGCTTGGAAGAGAGAAAAATCCCAGAGCTCTATTGTGAGAGGAGCTGTGGAGGGTTGGGGTTAGGAGAGAGTGAAAGCGTAGAGCCCCAGCATGAGTGGGGTTGCAAGGGGGACTGCTAAGGGAAGGTGGAGACTACCAAAAGCAGAGTCCTGGCACTTTTTTCATGTGACCAGTAACAGGTGGTTAATGTCTGAAGTGGGCATAGCCTAGGGTTATGGTTATTTCTAGGGTGAAGGTCATGTTTAGGGCTCAGAAAAATAGGAAATGCATAGGTGTCGTGGTGGGGCTGCAAAGGGCCTCTAGAAGGTTGCAGCCCAGTGAACTTTTCTGCGTGGGCCGATCGGGGAGCTGCTGCTTGCTTTCACAGAGTCTTTCTAGTCCTTGACTTATGGTGAAGAAAAGGCTTAGGATTTTGCTTTAAAGTCAGGTAAGACCAAGAGCTCTAGTGTATTAAATGGGACTGGGAAGGAGCTCCTAAAGAAAGGTGAGGGCCGTCAAAAACTTTTAGTCCTAGCATAATTTTTTGTAGGCTATTGCTCAGGTCCGTTTGAGTGGCACATTGTCTTCCTGACCTTATAATTACAGCCTGGTTTAAGCATTTGGGTTTGGAGAGAGCAAAAGTGCAAATCTCTAGTATGTGTGGTGTTGCACAGGGGTTTCCAAAGGAAGATGAGGGCTTTCAGATGGTTTCAGTCCTGGCTCTTTTTTTCATCTGGGCCATAACTTTGTGTCTTCTTGTGCCATTAACCCTCTTCCTGCAGTTATGGTTAGGTTTCTGGAGGGCAATATGGCTGAGAGCTCCTTTTTGGATGGAGCTGTGAAAAGACTTTGAAGACAGTCTTTGGAGTTCAGTAGTTTTCTGCTCTGCTGAGGAGTTTTATCATTCTGGCCACTGCTGTGAGTTCTTTTATTTCAGGACACTGAAGCATGGTGTTTCTATCATTCCTGCATATTTAATTATTTTTCTTTTCTGTCTGTTAATTTCCACAATTCTGCTTTTGTCTTAATTTCTCTTTCTGCATCTAGCAGTGTTACCAATATAATCGCTGGGAAAGCTGTTAAATTTTCACATTTGACTCATCCTTGGGATTATTGCTGTTTTGTTTGTGGGTTTTTTTGTTGTTGTTTTGTTTTGTTTTTTAAAATTTGATTATATATTTTTATGTAAGATTTAGAAATATACATTTTTCTACCATTTTTAATGTTAGAATCTTCTGAAATTTCAATGAAGATAGCTTCTTTGATGTGTGTGAGACAGTTTTTTAATAGAAATCCAGGGAATGAGATTTTGCGAACATGGCCACTATTCCAGACAAAGAAAAACAAAGGCAGAATAGCAGAAGAATCAAGCGACTGTGATTTGAAGTGATGAAAATATCAACAGGAAAGCAGGAAAGAAAAAAAAGTCATTTTCCAGATGTCTGACAGCTTCAGTGTCAGGGTACAGTGAGCCAGCCACTGGCAACCTTAAAGTGGCAAAGCTGTGCAAACACACTGCGAGAGAAAGCAACTCAATGTTCTGGCCCTTTATACACTCAAACATAACATAACAAAACTACCAGCTGCATAGTGGTTATCAGGCATATCAGATCATGCTCTCATTGTGACAGTGATAAGTGCCTTGTAGATGGTGGAGCCCTGTGGAAGCCTAGCTTCTTTAAACAAGTGTGAACTTTTTATTGTGATCATACTTTTGTTCAGAGTCTAATTTTAAAGCCTGAATTCAAAGTTTTTTTAAAAAATAAAATTAATTATTGACATCAAATGCCTTTTCTAATTATACATACTCAGTTGTTTTATAGGTGTTCTTTGAAAGACCTGTTTCCTTGATGTGTAATTTATGATGAGTGAGTTTAAAATGTTACAGAGGATTTTATGAACCACATGTGTTTAATCTGTGCCTTGTTTGCTCTTTTCTGATTTCCAGCCTCAACTAAAGTTTGCTGATAAACAAAGAATGGTTATGTGACATAATGTCCAAGTTAAAGTTTGGAAAGCTTGGACACTGATAGTTTAGCTTAAGGTGATAATAAAGTAGAATTCAAGCAATGAGACCAATACTGTGTGAGCAGAAACACTTAGAAGTAACTCCACTTGGGATTTTTTTTTTGTTGATGTGTTAGTAAAGCTTTTGAATACAATTTAAATATTAAAGATTTGGCATTTCATTTTTCTGGAATTTCTAATGGAATAAGAAATAGTACATCTATGCTATACTATATCTTTAAACATGAGTTTTCCTTCTAGGCATCTAACCCAGGGCAGTTTGAGAATGACAGTGATGTACTGTGGCAGCGAGGACATGTTCCAGAGACGATAGTCTATCACGGTCGAGTAGGAATTAACACAGATGCACCAGATGAAGCTCTGGTTGTCTGCGGAAATGCAAAAGTTATGGGCAGAGTCATGCATCCATCTGACAGCCGAGCAAAACAGAATATCCGGGAGGTGAGGGCTGTGGAGTATTTAGGGCATTTACGTTTGCACCACAGCACATGTGTGGATCATTGTTCTGACACATGAAGCAGCTTCTTTATCCTGGGTGTGCTGAAATGCTGGCCTAAAGAAACCAGATGTATCACTGGGCTCTGTAGAGCCATTGCCTGTGAACTTTGGAAGAGGCTGTCCGTAGAAGCTGGGGATACCTGTGTAAATGGGAGTTGTCAGGCTGAAGGGTAACTGGCAATACAAATACAAACAGCACTCTGCTGATGGGGAGTGGGAAGACTGTCCATATTTTTTGCTGTGAAGACTGGCCAAGTGACTGTGTCAGGTGTGTTGCTAAGTGATGTCCTAGATGCCATGACATTCTTAGTGTTTCAACACATGAATCTTCGGTATTTGTCCAACTAGGTCGATACGAATGAGCAGTTGAGAAGAATTACACAAATGAGGCTGGTGGAGTATGACTACAAGCCTGAATTTGCATCTGTTATGGGAATTAAAAATACCCACGAAACAGGTATTGGGTCAGCTCTGTTCCCATTTTTCGTTAACTTCCACTGTTGTTCATTGTCCCATAGTGCTTTTTAACACCCTGCTATTTCATCCTCATTTCTTAGGATATCGCACATTCTGCTGTGTATCTCTTGTGATATAAAAATGCCAAAATTAAGTATTTCTGGTAATTTTCCAACTTCTGTTTTGATTTTTAAAGATAGGAGGTTATTTTTCCAGAGGTTTAATGAGAATGAAGTATGTGATCACAATCAATTTTGTTCTTATTGCAGAGAAAAGGTAATTCTAAAGCTTTCTGTTTTCTGTGGAATGGAAAAAAAAAAAAAAAAAGTGAAATCCTAGATTTTCCTACCACAGAGAAATTCTAGATTGTGTTTGGCCCTACCTGTAGCTTTTAGGATGGGCAACTCAAAGCACACAACCATGGTCAACAGCACGCCGTTTGTTTCCTGACTTTAGTTTCTGTTATCTTGTGAACAGGCATAATAGCCCAGGAAGTGAAGGAGCTTTTACCTCAAGCTGTTAGAGAAGTTGGAGATGTTGCTTGTAATGATGGAGAAAAAATAGAGAAGTTCCTCATGGTTGACAAGGTATGGTCTTGAGAGAGAAAGCAGATGTGTGTATTTAGACTGTTCTTTTCACATATGGAGCTATAAACACACACTATGCTTTATACAAAGCTGTAGGCCTCCACCTGTATTTACAAAAATTGTGTTTGGCAAATCAGTGAGAAAGAATGAACCACCAGGCATTAGTAAATGGCTGGTTTTTTTGAATGACAAATCTATTTCTATTAAAATCTCATTATAATTATAAATAAACATACAACAAAAGAGAAAAGGAAAATAACTAACTTTGCTGAATAAAGGTGGATAGAAATTTGATAGCATTGGTCCAACAAGTGGGACTCCAAAACATTCTTTTGTTTTTAAGTTAATTAAGTGTTCCAGAAGTGAATTAAGCAATGATGGCATTGTGTTTGTTAAACAAAAACTTCCTTACTCTAATCCTGGTGTAATCTCTTCATACCAAATACAAATGCTTTCTCTGTGTGTGCTGTGGGAAGGTTTTTTTGGCCATCTGAAATCCTTATTATAGCTTCAAAACCATATACTAGAAAACGTTTACGGCACACGAGGTAATTACCATGCTCATAGGTTGGAAATAATGCCTTAGTCTAGTGTGCTCTCTTCCCCTCCTTTTCCTGTAGAAATAGGACTGGAAGGGACTGTCAGTCACAGAGTCCAGTCACATGACTTGTCCAGAACATTGCTCAGAGCAGTCCCTCTGTTGTGCGCTGGTTCACTGCAGGTCAGGGACCACTTCCCAGCTTTTTCCTGCTTACAGCTGATACTGGGAAGAGTCTGGCCTGGATGATGTAATGAACACAATCCTTTATTCATTATAATCATGCATTCTTTCATTATTCTGTAGAAAACACAGGTTTATACCACCAAACTTGGAGAAAATACCTATAAAAAATACTTCATTTCACTTGTCTTCGTATGATAGGCTACAAATAAATTAAATTCATAGGTTAAATCTGCTAGGCTGTATTCCATATAAAGAAAGCATGAATGAGACACCTTGAGTAAAGCTGTGGAAAGAGCACTTTTTAGAGATACTGTTGAAAAGGAGACATTTAGAAAATTTGCTGTGCTTGGTCAGGGGTCCAGCCTGTAACTCATTTCTAGATGCTCACAGAAGAGCAATGGTGTTATATAGTGCCACTAGGTTTATTTTGCCATTTAGCCCTTCCTGTTACGTTGTCTGGCAGCTGCAGCATCATTTGTGTTTTTGAGTCCCCCCCCAAACTACTGTGGGGTAGTCAAGTTGTACAGTTGAGCTTCTGGTTTATATCTCTCTTTGCTGAAATATCACACAAAATACCATCTGTAACAGTGCCTCACAGCACTGCCTTTTGGGCCCATTGTGTTCCCTTTCTCCTCGGTAGCTTGGGTCTCCGGACAGTGCTTGCCAAGATGTCTTCCAGGGATGTGACCTTGGAAATGGAGAAAGCCTACTGCACCCTGCAGGGCGTGATTCTGTAGTGGATGTGGCCCAAGCAGGAATGAGTTGTTACAGCAATGGCTTATTTGCTGCTTAGCATTTTCTTGACAAATTGGCTAGGTCTGGGATCCCTTCACAAACACTTTGACATTGTTTTAATACAGTGAGGTAAATCTGTGCTCTCTGCTATTTCTCCTAACAACTGTGGCAGAGCATGTGAAGGTCAGTTCCATGAGCTTTGGGGTGACAGGGGCAGGACAGATCTGTGTTTAACAGTTTAAGATGTGTATTGAATTCAGAGATTGGGAACATCTGATGTCCAGGTGGAACTGCTTTAATGTCTGGGGCTCCCAATGCCAGAATAGCTCAGCACCTTGAATAGTAAATGGACAATGCTTCATATCTTTGCTTTCAGTTAGGAAGGTGATGAAGCCTTGAACTTTGTTACCTCACATTCCATGTTTTGTTCCAGATAAGCTGGTTATTGGCTGGTTTGGTTGTGTCTCTTCGTCAACTACCTTTTTGGAGCTGTCCAACCCTGTAAAATTAATTGACTGCATGATGCATTTGAACCAGGCTCTGCTATTTTCTAGAGAAATGTCTCAACTGTGTGGAAATCTGCTGTTTTGGGGCAGGAATCTTTCTTCTCTTCTCAGTTTCACTGTGCTTACTAGTTCTTCAGTGAGGCAGTAAAACTCTGATCAGTCCTTTTTTCCCAAAGAATGGGGATTTTCCAGATCATCCATTTTCTCACCTAGAAGAGATTCATGCGTGATTTGAAGAGAATGGAAAGGGCAGATGCTACATATCATTGATATGAGGACAACTGACCGTATGAATGATTTTACAGTTCTAGGCACAGGAGGTTATTTTGAAGTCACTTTTTAGTTAAACAGGCTGTTGGTCTTCTGGCGGTACCGAAGTTTGCAACTTACCACCAATATCTGTTCTCTGGTTCTATTTATACAAAATACTATCTGGTTTTGTGGAATGCAGTCATCTGTAAAAGAAAGGTGGGCATGGCATTTACAATGTGAAAGGCAAAACTCTGCTTTTGCCTTATTTCTGCATGACTTGACTAGACTGGAACACTTAGCAATATTAACTGCAATAATAGCTTCGTCCAAGATTTAATGGCATCAGTCTGGTTGTCCGTTAGTATAAGAAAGCCATTCTTGCAGACATAGCAAAGAAAATATGCTGTTACTGAGCTCCTGTAGTGGATCAGTGATCATTTTTGGCTCAGCAGTGGTTAAAATACTCATTACCTGGATGGTTGTATTGAGGGCTTCTCCAACAGCAGATCGATACCTAGATGATAAGCAGGGGGTAGAAGAACAGAAGGCTTTTCCTGGGTAAAATATTCAGAAGGAGTAAATGGAGGGTGTCTAAACTGTGTTAGGTGCAGAGCTAATCATGGTATTAGAACTTACAGGACTCCTGTAAGAGTTTGGAGAGGTTGAAAGGGAGGACAAAATATTATGCCATCACTGCTTGATCTCCGGTTTGGATCTTTCCCTGTCTCATTGATTCCTGTATGATTCAGGTTATATGTACAACATGGATAGAAACCCTGGCTTGTCTAAGACAGGTTAATCAATCCTGTAGGTAGATAGCTGGATGTACATTATGCTAAGTGATTCTGAAATCTGTGTTCAGCTGCAGCACTACAAATCAAATAGTAGATGCCTGCTGTGACAATGTTAAGGTTTAAAATTCAGTACAGGATGACTGTAAAACATAGTTTAAATTCTTGGTTTACAAAGCCTTTTAGGTTCTTTAAATTTTTCTGTAAGTCCTCATTTTCAATTTACTGCAAATTGAACATAAGCAACTTTTACAGTCTAGCAAAAGGGTTTTATAATCATAAGTGTGTCCCATTTACAGTGAGATAACTTGAGTTTGCATTTTAAATATTCAGTGTATCCTTACATAGGTGAATTCTGTACTCATTCCTGCTTGTTACATCTGATTGATGAACATACTGTATCTTCTTTTGTCCTTGTTTTTCTTCTCAGGATCAGCTCTTTATGGAGAACGTTGGTGCTGTAAAGCAGCTTTGTAAACTAACAAACAATCTTGAAGTAAGAATAGAAGAATTAGAACAGTGGAATAGGAAACTGTCCAGGCTGAAACGGATGAGCAGTTTAAAGTCAACAGTCAGTGAAGAGAGCAAAGTGAGGTACTTCTGTCAGGGATGTTCTCTGATAGTTGTCACAGAAATTGGTAAAGTGGTCTCTGTGGTAGAAGTGAAAACGGATTTTGCTTGACAGTGGGATTCAGCTCATTTCCAGCATTTAAGTTATGCAAAAAATGTGAATTTCTCATATTTTTTTCCAGCATTTAAGTTATGCAAAAAATGTGAATTTCTCATATTTTTTACCTCACTGACAAAATTAATATTTGAAATGACTGTTAAATCGCAGTCATTTTTGTAATTGCTTCAGTTGCATAAAGCAAGGACAGATTATGTCCATTTACAGCCCTGGAACTTGGAAATTGCTGCTAAGATAAATTTGCAGAGCTTCTTCTGCAAGAAAGGATCTTCATTAGTGCCTCAGTGGAACTGATGAGCATTTCTTATTTCTAAACAATTTCCCCAAGTTTTCTTTGAAATCAAATATAGCATTTAATATCATTCACCTGAACGAGGTAACTGGAGGTCTTTGTTCTTGACAATGAATCTGCTGACACTTCTGCCTTTCTCTTTTTAAATGTTAAAATTGAAAAAGCAAGTGACATTAACACCCTATTGAAATGTCTCTTTTTCATTTATTAGTTGCTGAAACATTTGAATGTTAAAGAGATCTTGTCTCTTACAGCAGGTATAGTCGAGCTACTAGTCTTTTGCCATCAAAAAAATCAGTCCGGCTAAAATCCAGCAAGGTGAGTGAAATTAAATATGTGGAATATGCCTATGAGAGAGTTTTTGTAAGTGCTGAAGTATTGGTGAACGCTTTCATGTTTTAAATTGAGAATCAAATTCCTTAGCTTGGATTATTTAGTGTCAGGCTCAACTAGCTGTACTGAGAAAACACATACACGGCAGTTCTACTTCTTGCCTATACATGTGTGTGTGAGAGTAGTTCCATGGCGCGTAATGGTGTGAAGGAGACCAACAGGACAGAACTGTTGAGCCTGTAGGTGGCTCACAAGGTGCAGTGCAGTGCAGTGGATAATTGTTCCTCAGCTTCCTTCCTTCCTTTCACTGTGGTTTGAAGTTAGCATTGCCTGTTTTGTACCACATAGTGCTGTCTTTTAGGTGGTTAAGACCTGGATAGGGGGTTGTTGCTATTGCTGAATGGCTTCCTCTTGCCCATATCCTGGCAGGGATTGAATGAGTTAGGGAATATATGTTGCCTACCTTGCATTTGCCAGTGCCAAAGAGCAAGACAAAATAATAGGTAAAATGTTCTTCATTCCATAAGGACAGTCAGTTCCTCCATCGTCTAAGATCATCCTATTTGTCTGAAAAGTGCGATTCTTCTGTATTTAGACCAGCCAAGGTTTAACATGGTCTGAGAATATACTGAAAGCTGCTCATCTTTTAGTTCTGGACAATGCTTACTGAGTTCTTAGTCTGATTTTTAAATACTTTAAGAGTATGAAAAATGGCAGGAAGAAAAGAGAAGGAGCTGTTATTTTTACCCATCCTTTCTTCCTGTGTAATGTTTGTGTCCCCAGACTATCAACAGTGTGCAGCACACTCCCAGTTTTAGGGAGCCTTTCATTGCTTAAGGTTTTCTTTTTAGATGTTATAAGGATGACTTGTATGGTTCCTCTGAAAGAAACAAAGTTACCTTGAAGTCAGACTAGTATAGTATTTCTTACTCTACTAGTAGTAGCTTAGTTATGTGCCACTTAAATTAATGAAACTTTTTTTTTTCTAGGTCTGTTTGTCAAAGTCAAAAGAGGCTTGCTCCATGAAGATTTTCCGTGTGACCATAATAGCTTTGATTGCTATTATGGCACTATGGTAACAGTTAATTATCAACCACTTGGCTTGTTTCTCCTGTCTCCTTTCTACTTTTCTCATCAGGAAGAAGATTGCAATTTTTTTCTTCTTCTCACCCTTCCTACTCAAAGAACACAATGTATTAAAATTAAGAGTGAATAAGCCTGGTGATATAAACAGTAAAATTGATATCGTTTTAGAAAAGTGAGATACTTGTGGTGCACATACAACTAATCTCTGTGCATGTCACGATGTATGGTGCACCTCAAATGTATTTTGATGGCTCATCCAGGCTCATGAGTCTGCATGTTTTATGGAATCATTCTGTGCTGAAGTACCATTTCTGATGTACAGAGTGATTCTGTTGTGTGAAATGAAGCTGGACTTGTTCCCAGTGTGGTGGGCAGTCCTGTGACTCAGAAAGTTTGACTTGTGACATTAGACTTGTGGAAAGGAAAGTGTGTGCTGGACTTGAGATGGCTGTTTTCCTTTTCTAGTCCAAAAACCTGTGGCCTACAGTCTCTCTGTGAACTGAGTGCTTTGAACTGGTGTTGTGATTATATTTACAGTGGAAAACTGACTGTATTTTGTGTTGAATACAAGAATATGTGTATATGCATATATACAAGTATATGAATACAATACTGTATACAAGTATCTGATGTAAACGCCATTAAATTCAGTCAAAATTTTTCCCACTAGAACAGATGGTTAACTCTTACATTACTACATTTGGACAAGGTGTTTTAAGGTACTAATGTTATGTTACATAAAAGATGGATGTGACTACAGAATAATTCTTTTTCTACAGTGCTTTGACAATATCAACCTTATATTTACTTAGCATTCATGACAGACATTTTGAAAAGCATCTGATTTACAGGCAAGTAATTAAATTATGTTAGTGAATTAGAATTAGTAATTGATTGTGGACCAATCTATTTTGGTCCACAACTCTGATGTCCATTTCTTAATAAATTGTTTTTCTTCAGCAGCAGTACGTCAAGTTCTGTTCTACTCTCTCCCCCTACCACTACAGCAGGTACTGTATCTCTGCTGGTCTGCATACACATAACAGGCCTTCAGTTTCTGTGCTATCATAAGATGCCAATCAACACACAGCACTAGTGAGAGAACTGTCTTTTTTTTTTTAGCATTGCAGGGGGAAAGCACAATTTCTCAGAGCACGCAACCCATCAGCAGGATCCCTGAAGTGAATTTCTGTGACATTTTGCTTTGTGACAAGGTCTATTGTTGTCCAATTCATCAAGCAAAAGTCAAATCTCTAAGTTTCGAGAAAACCAATGCAAAAGAGAAACGTAAGTTGAAACATTAGTTTCTGTTATTTACCATTTAAGTAAAGGCTATATGAAGAGTGTGTGGGAAGGGGCAAGAATCTTTAAAAGTAGTTAGCTTCCTATAAAAGAGCCTAGTCCAGAGCTTAAAAAATCCTGATATAATTAATCATCCCTGAAGTCAATATGTTTTTGAAAAATCTGGCCTGGTTACCTTTAAGAATTTTGGGTCCTAAGATGTTTTATCAGGTGTAACTGTTCTTCCTGGCCATTCATGGTAAATGATTTTATGTGAACTAGAAAGTCACTAATCTCTTAAATTAACCTTTGCCTATGGCTGGACAGGAATTATTTGGAGTAATGGAGAGTGAACTAACAGATATAGAAAAACCCAAAACACTTAATGGTGTCACGATGTGGCAATACTACCTCTTTTCTGTGGGTAGGGACAGAAATTCAACTGCCAGAAAACATCAAACTCAGAATTAAAACTCTGCTCATTCAGGCAGGATTTCTGAGTAGAGAAATGTTATTTGAAGGCAGAGCTCTATGAAATAAATGACTCCTACTGGAACAAATTCTCTTTCAGATATTGTCTGCCAGATGTTATGTGTGTAGTATGTGAGTAGGTGTATTGTTTACAACTTTTATAATATTTATAAGAAATAGTTTATACATAAAGGTATGCACAAGTTGTTGGAATCTGTATTCCTCTTTCCCAGACCTTAACATTGTCAATGTCTGGAAACAAGTGTTAATATTACTAAACCCAGCATTCATACTCCTCCTTTCTTGGCCTTGGGAACAACTCTTGCAGCAACCGTGGTTGACGAGGTGAAATTGGGGGTGGATGTAGTTCAGCCTCTGAAGTACAAAAGTCTGCTAGGACAGGCATTGCCAATTGCTGTGACACTCTTGTTCCATGAACTGTTTCAGTGGGATTCACCTACTGGCCATTCTCTATACTGCAAAGTGCTATTGTCTGCAGACAAGCTGCATGTGATAGTCCTTGCAATTCTTATGATTAGTGCTGCAGTAAGCCCTGTGGCAGATATAGCTCAATACAGTGCTTTCAAGAGGTCATACCTAAGTGATTTGTATTACTCTGAAACCTGAAAGAGAGTTGATTAATTAAAAACACATTAATCTCATTTACAAATGAGGAAACTGTAGATGGATGAAAATGAAATATGAAAACCTTCTATCCCCAGCTGGCTGCTTTTGATATTAGGTGGAAAGAGAAGATAAGCATAAACACAAAGCATTACCTTCTCAAGGTCTTATGCTCCAAATAGCATTAAGTGTGGATCCAGGAATGAAAAATCAGCACAGTACACAAGCTACTGAAAGATTTCAGATCTGCACAAGTTTAATGAAGCTGAATGTATCCCCAGATGGAAGGTAACAATGTCAATATGAAATCCAAACAGAAGGTAAACCAACAAGCTGCTTAATGTAGCTGTAGCCAAGATAAATGAAAAGGAAAATGTTTTCAGAACAAAAAGCTAAGAGTTAAATATGGGGAATAATTAAGATAAACAGTGCATATTTTAGAATCGGCTGATTAGTCTGATTCATGGAAAGATAAAACTATATGAAATTACAGTTGAATTAAATGCTAATTTAGGAGCTCATATTTAACAGACCTTTTACTGTTCCACCATGATACCTGAATTCTGTGGGTGCAAGCTACTACTGGGTGCATCCACTGTAGCTCCTAATCCCTTGCATCTCAGATTTGTTGTTGAGAAGACTGTTAGTACTGTTCAAGTAGAAACAAAAGCAAGACAAAATTTATTAAACAAAAATTTATCACATCTTTATGTAGTGGATGTGGCCTTAATGTGGCCTTTTTTCCCTCATACTTTATTTGTCTTAAGAACTGGTTTCTCTGAAGGATTTAGACTTTTGAACTCCTATTGATTTCAGTGGAACTGAGGAGTGTGAATACTCTTCAGCATCTGGGCCTTTTCTGCAGTTTGCTTCTATGCCATTAGTGCTCATTGCTCGCCCCTTCATGTTAAGTGTCACTGGTAACCAGGGTCTGTCCTTACTTTCTCTTGGAGTGTTGTTTCTCCCTGGTGTCTCTCCCCTCACAGTATAAGCTTGGTGAAGGCTCCTGCTGATTTTGGTCAATGTCATGCATTTGCATTTATTGCCTTCAGATGTTAGTTTACAGATTCATAGCAAGGTACCACCACTACAAGAAGTCGTCAGCAGGTTTTTTCCACGCTGCTTATAGAATATTACAATTCATTTCAATTAAAATCAGAAAGTGCTTGAGGAAAAAAAAAAAAAAAAAGGATACCATACTTATTGGATGAATTTATCTGAATCTCATCTGAAGATAATGGTTGTCCTCATTACATTCTGGTCATGCTTGTACTTTTATATTTGGTTTTGAATTGGATATTCACACCCCATATTAGGCCTTTGAGAAAGCCCTCAGAGTCACTGTATGTGACAGAGTGTAAGTTTACCACAATTTATTGCAGACTACTACAGTGTTTTTTGGTGGATTCTGGTGTTCTCAACTGTCAACTTGAGCTCCAGATAAAAACGACATCAGGTCCGGTTTCCTACATTTCGTTTGGATTGAATCAGCTTAAAGGACAATGAAATAGTAATTTTACAATGAGTAAAAAACCAAGTAAAAATAAATTTCTATACTGGTTACTGACTTAGTTTAAATAGTTAAAATCTCAGTGAAGTAGATCTGTCTTCATTCTAGTTTTTTACAAATTCTGGTGCCCACTTAATGCTTTTTTCCATTATCTGTGGAAGAATCACAGTATTAAATGTCTAGTAATTCAGAGTATTTAATAAATATTCCTGCCAACATTTCCACAGCTGAAGTATTTTATCTACAGGGAGAACAACTTTCTTTCAGTGAGCAATCTTTTACCTTTACCAGGGGTTATAGTTTTTTTCTACAGAATAGTAATCTGTTAATGAAAATGCAAAATGGCGTGGAATGTTTAACGCATTGCTAACATACTATAAAGAGAACACATTAAAAAGTGAAAGGAAGACGTGACTACTAGTTTGTAAATTAAAAGAAAGAAAAAAGAATGAATAGGCTCTTCTTAGATCAGCCTCAAGACATGTATAACAGATTGCGTGTGTTCAGTAGCCATTCTTCTAGGTTTGTGGAACAGTATAAAGAAATGGGACAGCAGATGACTACTAAATGTCACAGTTACCACCTAATTTGGTACAGCTGGTAAATCTGTACAATAAGGACATTAATAGAAAATGGATTCAAGGAATATCTGGCAGCAGTATCACAGATTCATAACAAAACACAAAAATAATGGAAATACCAAAGATTATTTTGTATTCCATTGCTTCTGGGCCGTCACATTCCAGTTGTTGATGTTCCATGCTCTTGGTCACCTATTATCATTAGAAAAACCTGGATTTTCTTATTCCCAATACTGAAATGAGAACCAAAATCTGGAATGAATAAGAAAACAGTAGGGTCAATCCAGCTGTCTTGTTTCAATCTCAGTGAAATAATGTATTTTGATCCTTCCTTTTGTAAACTAAAATCTTTATATAATGAAAAAGTGAATTCTGTTCTAAACAGTCATTTTGAAATTAGAATGTTCCTTTGGAAAATGTGGGAATGGAGCATTTTGGTATTCTAGAAATATATGATTCCATTTTTTTCACAGATAAAATGGTATTTGATGAAGCATGTTAGTTTAGGCAAGATCAACATTTCTAAGATCCAGTTTATTGCTAACATGTCTCTGGACAGATTCTTGGCTGGAAATTAATGTAAAAACACAGGAATAGCTTTAAACCATTTCCCATGGGCCTGAAGGGCCTTCCCCAGGTTGTACTATGAGATGATTATTCAAAAGATTTTTTAAAATTCACGTTTCTAGAGAAGTGCTGAAAAAATTAATAGAATTTTAAAAAATATCATATTTCCCAGCCTAGTTCAATGTTTGAAATTACAGAGGTGACATAAGTGAACATGGTGATCGTGTTGTTAGAGCTGTGTATTAGTTTCTTCAATTTGGTGACTCATCCTTCCCTTTCTGTAATACTGTGTCTCACTTGGGCCAGTCCTCCGTGTCTTACATCTCACACTGAAAAAGCTAAGTTATTCCTCTCACCTCTGTTTGCTTGGCAGATTCTATGGCCTATTCTTACTAATGCCATTTTCTCACTAGTAAGAAAGATGTGGCTTTATGATCAGATATGCACTGAAGTGCCTGACTGGATGTTGACTTTCACTTTGGCTCTCTGTTATAACAATTGGTGATATTCTGTGTGGGGAATGAAATCTTTTCTATTAGGCTATTTTTTGAAATTCTTTAGAGATCCTGTAGAATTTCAGAATCTCATTTCTTGTTATCTGCACACTTCTTGTGACTGTATATATCTTCTTCTGAATAGAGATGCTTTGTATTTTAAAGGTTTCTCTTGTGGTTATGCAGACCTTTATCCAAGAGGTAATTAACAAAACGTCTTCTGGTGTTGTATTCATATTTTGCTGTTACAACTGTACAAGGCTAACTTGGGGGATGTTTGTAAATATATCTTTCACAGCAAACAGAAGAGACATGTTACCTGAACAAGATCCAGTTAAAAAATCTAATGGAAGACCTGATCTTGGAAACGACTGTAAGTCCCATATCTTTTTAAAAAACTGTTGAAATGTATACTTGTATGACTTTTAGGCTTGGAATTCTGCTACTGGAATTTAGAGAATTTTCGTTTATAACTGGTCATTATAGAGAATTAACACTTAGGAATCTATTAAATACATGCGATTCACTGTAATTTTCTTGTAATTCCAATTTATTCTTTCATCTTCATTAGATTTTTATAGACATTCTGGTTGCCCTCTCTAGATAGTTCTTATACCTGGATTCAGATGCAATGACAAGTGACATTTACTTTGACAGGGGCTAAAATCTTCTAAGGTGCTCAACACTGCTAACCCTTATACAACAAAATGCTTAAGGATTTCTGTGTAGGTTTTGTGTGCAGGAAATGCATGATACAGTGTAAAGGAAATGTGTGGGGTTTGGCTCAACTGACGTAACGAATTAAAAACGTCAGCTGCTGGAAGGGGCCATGTCTACCTTAAGAGCCTGACACTGCCCATGTCAGTGGAGATGAATTTCTTCAACATGAGACTTTTGGCTTGATTTCACGGTGTGCGCTGCTGTCAGAGCCAGTCTGGGCTGAAAATACTCATTCTTTTCTGTGAAGATGAGTATCTGCTAGTTACATATGTTGTAACGGCATGCTCTGGCATTCATTCACTATGAGCAGGATTATGCCTTATCTTTCTGTTTATGTGGATGCTCCGTTTTAAGGCTTGTTTTTTTATAACTATTCAATTAAAGATTAGGCAATAGTTGGATAATAAAACATCTCTAAACTGAGATGCATTTAAAGCAGATTGGTACCATGTGAAGGGTAGAACACAAGTTCTGCTTTTTGCCTGAGTATGCCCCAGTGGGATGATCTGGGAAAAATCATTCCCCTTCTGAATTTTTTTTTTACATGGCTGCACACCTCATGAAAGTCTGGCATTACTGTGATACATGTTGGAAACAGATGCTGGGGAATGTGCTTCTGTGCTACTTCTTTGAGAGGAACATGCTCAATTCCCCTCTGTCACTTAAGCATACATGGGGATATTTCCATGCTGAAGGTTAAGTATGTACTACCACACAGATGTTTTATAATCAGAGCACAGGTCAGCTAATAATCGTCAAGTTTCTCTGCAAAGTAGGGAACTGTTGCTGTAGAACAGAGGAACAGAAACACAAAACCAGTGTTCAAATTGCGATGTGAAGAGCAGGCTTGGGCCTGCTGAACCAGATCTTCCCTGTGCTCTCTCAACCACATTGCAAGACTTAAAATATCAGCAGCTTGATTCTGTAGGCAACAGCTGGAGTCTGGCTGTCTGCTGATAGCTCACACACTCCCTCCAAACCCGGGCCTTCCCCCAACCTTTCGCAATGTGAGTCTAGGTCCACTCAGGGTGATTAAACCTGTTCAGCCCCTTCTGTTTGAGGGCCTCCACAGTTCAAAGTGAAGTGGGCTGGTTTAGCGGTCTGAGATGCTGCAGGTCCTAACTATGGACCTGCACTGATTGGATACTGTAGATACATCCAGAAGAAATAAAGTTTTCAAGATGCAGCTCAGTGCAGTGATTCCTAGGCCAACTGTGAAAGCAGAAGCTGTGCTGCTGTGTTAGCACACTGTTTTTTCCCACCTAACTCTGCACGGTTAATCTGCCTAGGGTAGTAGCCATGCTGTCATGGCTATACTCTTCACTGTATATGTAGAATGTTACAAAACTCACTTAAGTTCTTGCAAGTTCAAGGCAACATTTTATGAAGAAATTATAATATTCATTAGGATCAAAAACAAATTTTGTTGCATTCCAAATTATTTCTCTCAGCAAGATAATGTTTTTCAAATTAATGGTTACTTGCATGAACATGGCTTCTAGTACATTAAAATGAATATTGACACATTTGTATTCTACTTGGACTGCCATCAAAATAGCCTTCAATGTCTGCCCAAAAGAAGGTGTTACAATATTAGGTGCCCAGGATATTTGTCCTTGTAAATCAAACAAGAATCTTATCTCTCCTGTAATGGTAGAATGAAGGTAATCAACCAGAGGCTTTTTACTGAGTCCTAATTTAGACCTGCAGCAACTCCTGTAGTGGCAAGCAAGGGAGTAGATGCCACTGTATTAACTGCAATTTTTTAATGCTCTTATCTAAGATATCTGAAATAATCAATGATAAAAAATTATTCTTAATATTTTTAGGGATTGATACCACAATCAGTTCCATACAGATTTTGGAAACCCAGCAAAGCATTGACAATCGCTATTGTAGTAAAAATCTACAGTGCAGGTAGGTAAATTGTTTTATTATGCTTTATTATATTAAGGAGGTGATGGGTGGCAGCCAACATGGCTTCATTAATGGCAAATCATGCCTGACAAATTTGGTGGCATTCTATGATGGGGTTACAGCATAGGTGAATAAGGGAAGAGCAACTGACATCATCTACCTGGACTTGTGCAAAGCATCTGTCACTGTCCCGCACAACATCCTTGTCCCTAAATTGGAGAGACATGGATTTGACAGATGGACCACTTGGTGGATAAGGAATTGGCTGGATGGTTGCACTCAGAGAGTTGGGGTCAACAACTCAATGTCCAAGTGGTGAGCAGTGATAAGTGGTGTTCCTCGGGGGTTGGTAATGGGACCAGTGCTGTTTAACATCTTTGTTGGAGACATGGACAGTGGGATTGAGTGCACCCTCAGCAAGTTTGCCGATGACATTGAGCTGTGTTGATATGCTGGAGGGCAGGGATGCCATCCAGAGGGACCTGGACAGGCTTGAGGGGTAGGCCCCTGCAAACATTGTGAAGTTCAACAAAGCTAAGTGCAAGGTCCTGCACATGGGACAAAGCAATCCCAAGCACCAATACAGGCTAGGTGATGAATGGGTTGAGAGCAGCCCTGTGGAGAAGGACTTGGGAGTATTAGTGGATGGAAAACTGACTGTGAGCCAGCAATGTGCGCTTGCAGGCCAGAAATCCAACTGTATCCTGGGCTGCATCAAGACAAGTGGGGCCAGCAGGGTGAGGGCGGGGATTCTCCCCTTCTACTCTACTCCTGTGAGACCCCACCTGGAGTACTGTGTTCAGCTCTGGGTCCCCAACATAAGAAGGACACAGACCTGCTCAAGTGGGTCCCGAGGAGGCCACGAAGATGATCAGGGGACTGGAGCACCTCCCTTATGAGGACAGGCTGAGAGAGTTGCAGTTGTGCAGCCTGGAGAGGAGAAGGCTCCAGGGAGACCTTATAGCGGCCTTCCAGTACTTAAAGGGGGCCGACAGGAAAGATGCGGAGGGACTCTTTATCAGGGATTATAGTGATAGCATGAGGGATGACGATTTTAAACTGAAAGAAGGCAGATTTATATTAGATCTAAGGAAGAAATTCTTTGCTGTGAGGGTGGTGAGGCACTGGCACAGGTTGCCCAGAGAAGCTGTGGCTGCCCCCTCCCTGGCAGTGTTCAAGGCCAGGTTGGACGGGGCTTTGAGAAACCTGGTCTAGTGGAAGGTGTCCCTGCCCATGGCAGGGGGGGTGGAACTAGATGGTCTTTAAGGTCCCTTCCAACCCAAACCATTCTATGATTCGACAATTATGGTGGAATAAAATACTGTTAATGTGGCATGGCTACTTGGCTGGCTCAGGCTGTTTCCTCTAGCACACAGGAGTTTCTTCTACTTTTCATATTTTTTTCTTTTAAAATTTAAATGCAATTTCCATGTTTTTGCAAGGTTATTGTCTATCTTGAAATCCTTTGTGTATTAATGCCAACTTTTTCAGGTCTGGAAATTATAGCTATGTTATTCCTGTTAACAAATACACACCCATGGATGTAAAAATCTCACTGGAAATAAAGTAAGTACAATTAGAGATGATACATATGTAATATAACAGTGGTTCATTTTTTGGGTAGTAATTCTTGCCAGATTTCTACTGTGACATAAATTTGTCACTATTCAGAGGAGTGGGGACAAATCTATGCACAACTAAGTTCTTAATGTGGACCTTTGGGTAGATCCTTTGCTGTTGCATAGGCCCAGTCCCACTCTCAGCGCAATGACAGTTTCACTCATTGATGCATATACTAAAATCTAGTAGTCTTAAGGTTTGGTCTAATAATCGTTTGAGCAGACATGTGTGCATATATTAGCAGGATTGTGGCCTTTGACCTATGGATTTTTTTTTTTTTAATTTTTTTTTTTTTCTGTGGAGAAATATTATTAGGAACATATATATATAACTCTAGATATATATATATATAACTCTAGAGAAAGCTTTTTTTGGACTGTTGTGGCAAGCCCTGTAAAAGGGGATTCTTGTGCAGGAACCTCTGGTAATGCATAAAATTGTGACTTACAGCAGGAATAAGCAGCAGACTTATTCCTTTCAGCAGATATTTGCTCCTCAGATAAAAGCCTAGCTCCATTGTGTTCCACAGAAGTAACAAGTCCTTTCTTTTGGGGTTTTTCTCTGAGAAAGGCCAGCGATAGCCAGAACAGCTGCCAAACCCTGTGCTTGATGACACTTCATGACTCCAATTTCTCCAAGAAAGGACTATGTGAAGTTATGAATGGTCTTTAGGTCCAGTATTTTGATCTTGAATGTTATCCTTGTAAACATCTGCCTTTTTCATATAAGAGGAAATATAACAGTACTCCTGAAGTGCCTACTTGTTTTCTACAGCCACTGAATTGTGTTTTGAGTGTATGCCATTACAATCTTACAATACAGCCCTTTCATGTAGGGATTAATACATCATACTCAGAGTTTCACTGAAGCAGTTACTGCAGTTATTTTGGATATTGGTTTGTCATTTGCAGGGAGGGGGATTTTCAATATATACCTTTTCTATGTACTTTAACTAAACAAAGCCACAAAATTTTAAAAATCAAAACACTTAACAAAGTCCAAACATATTTGTATTACCACTGTGTCCAAATACTGTAAGATACTGTAAATACTTCCGAAATTTGGAAAACCTTTATGCCTGCTGTATAACATCAAATTAATCTAATACACACTACTAACAGCCTGTCTAGGACAGAGAATCTGCCATATATGAATTATATGCTTTAAAACTGATGTTTCTTATAATACCTTGTTAATGTTGTGAAAGCACATTTTGTTGGGGTGTACTCTGTTGTTCCTCACAGCATAAACTGTAAATTTACATGTCACCTTTTCCCCACCTTCTGCTTTTAGTTTTTCTGCTAGTCATTGCCATATTTGAGTTCCTTTGGATATCCAAGGCATTTTTGTTTGTTTATATTCTTCCCAAAAAAGCCATCTGGTAAGCTAGGAAGTGCTGGAAACTCTCTCTAGAGATAGTTTGGAGGAGATATGACCACAAGGTCCTTGCTGTTGAAGAATTTTGAATTAAATTCTGTTTACCATTGCTTTCCCAGATGAAGTCTGGGATATTTTTACTTCTTTTTAATGATATATTTACATATGTACAGTGGCAAATGAGAGTTATTTATATAGGTCCCTGTTTTAAGGCTTATTATGGGTTTGTCTTCCATTAAACTGATGTTGTGTTTAGATGCCCAGGTACCCTCTGGCACAGATATATTATGCCTATGCATGATTGTAAGTCATTCGACTCAGGCATGTCATGACTATTAATTACTATAAAAAGCCATATTTATCATAGCTTCTGGTATGAACACGCTTGAGGCTTGAGGAAGTTTAGTGTACATTTCTAGATTTATCTTAACAACTGTAAAGATCACCCAGACTTCCAGATGCAAAACAGCCTCCATTCGTGAGAAGGAATGGGACAAGATTAGAGGTTGGTGGCTTAGGTCAATCTCCTTCATATCAACCAGTGAAGTAATCTCCTCTGTTTTATTTCTCTACAATTCAATTCTTCGCATTTGTTTGCTTTGTATGTATTTTTTATTTATATGTGTTATTCTCCTATTTAAGAGCAATTGGATAAATCCTTGTTTTTCTCTATTTCTTGAAGTACCACGGAACCATTAATTGTATTTCTCTGCAAAGTCACATTTGGAAATTATTGCTCCCATTTTTCTTCAAGCCAAAGCACTAGGAAGGATTTCCTAGAAACTACACAGGTAAGATTTTTGCAGCAATACTCTAGCTTGTGGGAATCATTTTTATAAACTGCTCAGAGCATGACTCTTTTTTCCACTCTCACATTAAAGGAACTATGCAAAACTGAAAATAAAATTGAGCTTTATGTAGGAAAAAAGTGTTTATTTTTCTGATAGTTTTGGTGGTTGAAGCCATACAACGCTGATATAATTTGTGATTTTCGGTACCCTTGCTCTCCAGCATTGTGTTCCCTTCTACTAGCTCTGTTTGCTTTTCATAAAAGCATCAGTCTCATAAGTAAGTGGTCACAATGCCTTGAATGATGCTCTTGATTCAAGCAACATTATGTGGATGCATTCTGGAGCAGAGGGACATATGGAGGGTGGGAAAAACTTGTAATACCTAGTTCTGCTGATTAGCCTTATAGACCACTGTTTGTAAGGAACGAATAAAGAGATAAAAGAGACCATGAAGATCTTCAGCTCCAGAGTGTGGAAAGGAGGGTAGCTCATGCCAGCTAGTCTCCTTGGCCTTGTTCATGGTGTATTTATGGGCACTTGAAAGAAAATAAATAGTCCATTAAAACCTGACGTATAAAAGTAATGGCTGCAAAATTCTGATCTTGATTGAGGTAGTAGAAATACAAATGGTACTGAATCTGTCAGTCATAGCTGGCTTTGGCATGACCATAATGAGACACAACTTTTTTGTAGGAGTCAGTTTTCTGCTGAATTTTATAAAAATCTATCTAGTGACACTCTACGAGGACAGTTTTGAGTCTACTTCAGCCTAACTTACCACTATAACTCTATAAATCTCCAGAGATACTTTAAAAATAGGACCTGGGGCCTTAGGAGACAGTTCTCCAAACTCTCATCTGCTCTACTGTTTCCAGTATTGTCCTGTGGGTAGTGAATTCAAGTTTTTAAGTCTTGAATTCACTGGAAACAATGGTAGTTGGGTTTTTGGTTGGTTTTTTTTTTTTTCTGTGCGAGCAGGAGTTTACCAGTAAATCTCTCTAGGGAGGGTTCATTGTAAAAGCAAGAGTTGTTCATGTGTTGTTATCTGGATTGCCTCAATGAGAATAAAAGCTGTTAAAACATGTTACCTTTTCCCAGTAAGAAAATATTTAGAGACCAGATCTTGCAAACTTTTGATCATCTCCAGTAAATTGATGAGGGCCTTAAACTCACTTGAAATTATGTGGAAATATAAGACTCTTTCAAGGCCTCAATTTGTCTGCATTGCTTGGAAATGTTTATTCTGGCTAAAACAGTAGGAAAGGCAGAAGCAAGGATAGTAGCATTTCTGAACATATTGTAGGAGAAAGCTTCCTGAAGTTGGAAGTAATTTCAGACTCTTATTTTACATTTCTGATCTATGGTGCCATACATAATACATTCTTAATTGATTTTAAATTACTTTTTTTGGTGCTTTGTCAAATTAGAGCAGTTGGGATAGCCCCCACCCTTAAACTGACTTTCTGATCAACTTTTCAAATGTCTTTGCAAAAAGTTTCAGGCTTCTCTGCAACTGCTGCAAAGCTGTCAGAAAGCCAAAATTGTCCAAGTTTTGACCTGTCTGCTGTAATTCCAACAGAATTGAAATTAAGTCAGACCAGACAGTTTCACAATGCAGAAATATCCTTGGAGCTTATTGCCAAAACTGGTCAAAGAGATTTCCTGTGTCAACCTGAAATCCACATCAGAAAGCTAAAGCTAACTAGCCTCTAGCAGCAGTGAGCATTCAGGTTTGATGTGACACAGAATAGAAATGCTGCCTAGTTGAAGAAGTTTTTTTCAAGAGGATTTTCCTAGGGACTGGAAGGCCTATTCCCTACCAAATGGCAGGACAGCAATCAGTTGGTCTCAGCAGTCTCACCTAAGTTGTATCATGTGAACATATCATCTCCAACAGAGAGAATGTGTCAGAAAGTGAAGGAAAGAGGGAAAGATGAAGGAGTGAGACACTAGAAACTGATGAAATAAAAGTTACCATGGATCATTAGGTTAAAAAGAGATGAGGATTTAATTTTATTTTATTCAGTGTAGCATAAACATTTCAGATGAAAAATATACTATTTCATTTGTACATGGCAGGACACTGCAATCAAAAATAGTATGAAATCTTGCCTGCATCTTTTTTGAAATACTGGGTGAAGACACTACCCATATCTTTAGAATTTAGAGGAACATTCACTGCCTTCTGAGACTACTAAAGTTGGTGTTTCAAAATTGGCAAAATTGCCATTTGCTGCTACTATTACACCTTAAAGCTCTCAGACCACCTGGCACATCAGGAGCAATCCCTATTTATTGTGGGATTTGCTTGGAAAACTGGAGAGGGAGTTCAGCTATTCAGAGCTGAGTGTTGCTGAGAGCCAGGTGTCTGTCAGCTCCTGGGCAAGAGCTGATCAGAGCAAACCCACATCTTCGGGTTTTAAAGTCAGCACTTTGTCTTTAAATACTAAAGACTATAGCTATCAAGTCTTGTTATCATAAATTACTTTGCACTGCATTTGTCTATGAAATGTTTCCAGAGCCTATCCTTCTCTCCAGTTTAATGTGAAATAAGGTTATCTAATCTCTCTCTCTCTCATTTATCATCTAGGGACGTCAGCATATTTGGACTCTCCCTGTAGCTAAATTGTATGACAGCGCATACTATTTCCGTGTAGCTGCACCGGTAAGCTTTTTCAAATGGCAACCCAGCAAAAGACAAATAACTTCTGAACCGAGAGAAGATCTTCTATGAATCTCCTTTATTTTTCTTCTACAGGGTTTTGCAGGATGCTCGACAGATCCTTATTTTGCTGGAATGTTTTTTACTGATTACTACTTCTATTTTTATCGGCAGTGTAACTAAAATGTTGCTGATCATTCTGTTCTTTGGGGAAAATATGAAGAAGCCCTTGATATGCAAAAGAGACTTGTGAATGGCCCTGGATATTTTTTTTAAACCTCTTGCTGAATTGTATGGCACTTTCTTGTTTGTTTCACTTTTAAATTAATGAAAAGGAGAATAAAGACTTTGACAACTGTAGCTTTGCATTTCCAGGAACTGTTTCGAAAAGAACATGAGGCAATTAAGTATATGATGTGTAACTAAAATAATCCCACTGATCATAGTGAAGTTATGGTATTGTATGTATAGCAGATGAGAACAAATGGGTAGGAGCTCTGCTGAGCTGGGATACACTCCAGTCCTCAGAAGATGGTAAGATAATAAAATGTTATTTGCAGTCAGGAGACCTGCTTCCGTCCTAAAGGCATATACCTTCCCTTAGTATCTGCTGCCCTTTATTTATATATAAATTTTTTTTTTTTTTTGCTAACAAAACCAAAACCAAACAAACCTTTGAGAGAGAAACAGAGCGTTGTGAAAATGCTCTCTAAAATAACTGCTGTAAATTAGGGAACAACAGGTCAATTCCATGGTCTGTTTAGGTATTTCTATTTCAGAAAGCAGTACCATCATTATAGTTACAGTTGTGTGATTTAACGTTGATGCTGCTGTTTGAATGAGATATGTTTCAGCTACTTGTTTTTTTAAAAAACTGTACAGCAGGAATGAACTATTTACTCCTAAATTCAGATAATTTGTTTTCTTGGTGTTTGTGATTTGTGCTAGTGTGATGAAAGAATATAAATATTTGAGAAGAATAATGTCTTGCTTGTATGACTTTTTAAGATGCAAATGGATACACACTTGCATGGGAGAAATCTTTCTGTTCATATTTAGGAAATATATTTTTAAGGTAAAGCTATTTAAATGAAATTTCACATTATTACTATTTGCTCAGACAGAAGGAAAACAGATGTAATGAACAAGTGCAGTATAAATAGTGTTGTGGGTTATGTTGTGCAGAGAAGAGACAGAAAAAATAATTGAGAGACTGTAGGCTTTTCAAGATACATAACGTAAAAGTTACATTTGAACAACCTTACTCTGAATGAAATTCTTTCTTTAGCAGTGAAAGGGAAACATTAAGAAGAAAAATTAATCTCCAAAAAAGAGCTGACCACAGTCTTTGTAAACACCTATGTGTCTTAATTGTATATTTATTGCCTGACAATATATAGTTTAATTTTTTTTCTGTGCCTTCATTTAGCATTTCTTTTGTCTCTAATTTGGGATTTCCTTTAAGGATGACGTTCTCACTGATTTTTTTAAATGTATGTGCTTCAGATGGGGTTAAGTGCAATGTCTGTGGATTTTTTTGCCTTAAATGACTCACTACTTTGACATCTAAATATATATTGGTTTGGATTTGTTTTGGGTTTGTTTTTTTTGTTTTTTTTTTTCCTGGGAATTATTTATGGTGTATACCACATGATCTGTAATATCCCAGAGACTAACTGGACTTGGAACTCTGGATCCAAAAGCACCAGAAGTTTGTACCTTTAGTTTTTTATGGTCCATACTTGAGGGTAATTCCTAAGAAGTGTCACCTGGTCACAGATGATAATGCATGTGCATTTTGTACAAAAATTGTAAAGTTCTAGACCCACCTTATTTTCATCACACTGTTCTGTTCTGGATTGAAGTACACAGTGGCACAGAGAACTGCAGTAGAAGAATATAAGCTCCCCGTTGTTTCCTGACATCCAAAAACTTCCTGTGATTAGGGTCTGGGGTCAGATGCATGTGGGATAGCAACTATCTTCTTTGTGAAAAAGCTTGTGGTGATTTTATTACATATGACTTTGAGCATTCAAGAATTTTCAACTAGTTCTTTACTCCTGTCATACATTTTTAGTAAGGTACTCTTCAAGATTTTATTCAAGTTTAAGATGACAAGTTGCTGTACGAAGGCTGTGTTCTAACATGTCCAAAGTAACAAATACCCACCTTGGAAAATGCTAGGGAGGAACTGGCAGAAATTAAATACTTGTCATTGAAAAAACTGTGATAAATAGTCTTCAGGCTCCTGAGAAAATCTGTGAATGACAATGAGCTGAAAGACTTTTAAAAATGGGATGACATATTAACAGTAGTGCTTTGATAATTTTAAATGGGGATTAGATGACTTTTGTTGCTTTGTGACACTAATTATATTGGAGTTAGCACTGAATGAGTTTGTGGCTCAGGGGGCCAGGAGAAAATACTAGTAGTGTAACAGAACTCTGAGCATGCCCTGGTTTTCCATCTAGAAGTTTAGTCCAGTTGAGAAAGCAAAACTTTACTTTTTGCCTGGGATTTCATGTACGCCAGGTCCAAAAGTGCAAGAGAAGATACCTGATGTAATAATTCAGTCTGTACTTGCATTATGACTCTTTTGTCTGAGAGTCAGCCAGGTGCTTGGTCACCTGGAAGTCCCAGGAAATGTTTTAATTCTACTTCCCCCTGTATAATGTTTTCAGAATACATTGACTTGCCAGGCATGTGCTGGCTGGCTGTACGGTGCATGTACAGCGTGTTCAGCAAGACAAGGAGTGTCAGCCTGTGCTGGTTTTGTCTAGGATAGAGTTAATTTTCTTCAGGGTAGCTTGTATGGGGCTATGTTTTGGATTTGTGCTGAAGACAGTGTTGATAACACACTGATGTTTTAGTTACTGCTGAAGGGTGCTCACACAGGGTCAAGGCCTTTTCTGCTTGGCAGAGTGCCCCGCCAGCGAGCAGGCTGGGGGTGCACAAGAAGTTGTGAGGGGACACAGCTGGGACAGCTGACCCCAACTGGCCAAAGGGATATCCTATACTGTAAGTAACCATTATGCGTGGTGGAGCCCCGCTTTCCTGGAGATGGCTGACCACCTGCCTGCTGATGGGAAGGAGTGAATTAATTCCTTCTTTTGCTTTGCTTGTGCGCACAGCTTTTGCTTTACCTGTAAACTGTCCTTATCCCAGCTTGCGGGAGCTATGGACACGCACACGACCAGTATGATCGAGCAATGCCAATTTATTGAAGGTAAGCAAGCCCTTTTATATGTTCCTCCTGTGCACGCCAACGGTATGTTGTACAATCCTCATGATTGGATAGTTAGTTTTGTCCACGCACTTCAAGCCTTCTCACGATTGGATAATAAGCGCCACACTCAATGTCTTTCTCCGCCCAACCCATCTCCTGGAGTTGTTTGCTGAGTTCTTTGTTCTATGTCCTTGTCATGTCCTTGCTGAGGCGTGCGCACGTGTAGGATTGCTCACATGTCCATTATCTCCCAACACCAGCTCATGAGTTTTCTTACTTTCAAGTCTCTCCCCCACCCCACTGGGGGAGAGTGAGCAAGTGGCTGTGTGGTGTTTATCTGTCTGCCGGAGTTAGACTGTGACACAGCCTCACCAGATACACAGTGGGTGACATACGTGCCCAGATTTCGGTCCATTTTGGTGTGGAAATATGGAAGCTCTAGGAATGATTCTTACTGCTAAGCCCTCACTCTCTTGTGTTTGGGGAGGTGGATCTCATCTTGACTCCACTGGACTGGTGACATTCTCTACCTTGTGCAGTCCTTCTCCCTCGTGCAACATCAAACTAGGACTACCATAGAAGAATATCATGGAGAAAACATGGCTGGCAGCATTTTCTGTCCTGAACAACTAAAGGAAGTATGGATTGACTTTTCCAAATGAAAAACTGGGTTCTAAAACATTCAAGTGTCTTGGTTGTTTATTAGTATTCCTGTGTGCTCAGTGATAAAGTTGCAACAATTTTTAACGGTGGTCATTACAATGTCATTTGAAACAAATTTTGAATAATGAATTATTGATTATATATATTCTGCCTGGAACAGAAAGTTCCTTCATTTACCTATTTTTAACACAATGTGGATGAATTGTAGAAACCTCCAGACATCCATCGCTGGAATATTTCCCATTTATTTGAGAGGGAACTGAGGCAAAGCAAACTCCCAGTTTGAGTGATAATCGGCCGTAAATTGCAGGAGACAAAGGTAGAACTAGAATAGGGCTATCTGGTACCATCTGATCTGAGCTTCAAACCATGCTGCTCATAGCAAGAACATGATATGGCAATTCACATTTTTCCTTGACTGTAACACGAATTACCTAGCCTTGCTTTCAGTAAGTTTGATCCAGTGGTGGCAGCAGCATTTTAAGTAAGGAACTGAGATCACTTGAAAGCCCAGCACACTTAAGCAGAGAGCTTATAGAGGGAAAATCCTGTATGGTCACCCCATGGAAACCATGTATGAGGCAGAAGAACAGAACGAGTAGTTCTGGGGTGTGACTCAGCAGGTGAATATCTGATAGCCTTTGGTCAGAACCCCGGGTGAAGTTGTAGACAGCTGTGAACAAAGGGGCATTTTCCTTGCTGGCTGCAGCTCTGTTCAGTTGACTCTTTCAGAAGAGACCTGGTAGCTAGTGAGGAAGCTATTTGTATTGACCTGGTGGGATGGTGTGAGCCTACCGTGAGAAACTAGCAATCCCAAATCTGAGTCTGGCATCCTGCACAGCACAGGTCTGAAAGGAGGCCTGGAGGTGAGCTTTCCATCAAGTCCTGCTTCTGTATTTTTCTAAGATCATAGCTTACTTTCTAGAGTCAGAAAAATACTCTCATTAAGAGTTGCTAGTGGGTTAAATTCTGCTTGCAGTGCAAGAAGTTGGTCACTTGGGAGGCACTGCTTAAATTACAAATCCATTGCATAGAACGTGAGTCAATCCAGCTGCATAATGAAAACCTGATTTACATCAGGTTTACTCTTTGTTGATCTGAGTGCTAGAGTATGTTTAAAGTAAATCTGTTCATTGTAAGTATAGAAACTATTTTCAAGTTTCACAGAAAATTAATCATAGTTTATAAACTAGTTGCAGTGCTTTAAGACTACTATATGATATGTTGCTTTACATGAAGACATGGCTTTTATGTATGACATTATAATACACTTAAAAGGATTGAACACAACTGGTAGAAACTCATTATAGGAATCATTTGCTGATCTTACCTTAATCTTGGAATATTTCTACTTAATGTCCCACCTAAACTGTGCGACAAAGAAACAGTGTTTGCAGATCTGTGTCCTGTATCACTGACAGTCTGCCACTGCAAAAATTCCAGCTGCTCTGCTGGCTTCCATGGATCTCTCTACCACATGATGTTTGCTTCCTCCCACATTCCCTACCTATTGGACAAGGCAAAAGGCAGGATTAGCTCTGATTTGAACTGTTCTCATACTGACAGGGAAAGCTGTCTGCTCCCTCACACAGGGGATTCCTACCTGCCTTTGGAAATATTGTTATTGTTTGGGTTTTTGTGTGGGCACCAGTTTGTGTCTTTTTCTCTTCTTTACTTCAGATTTTCTTGAATCTCGCAGAAACATAATATGGCTGAGCCTCTATCCAATTTGATTGTAATTGGTCAACACATTTAAAATTATTAGTAAGCAG